TTCCCTACGGCTTGGGGCTGGTCTGCAAATGGGCCCCTCCGTTCCTCTGAGAGTGGAGTCACCTACCACAAGCACCCTTCTTTCTTTCCTGGCAGAGGCAGTCTGAATGCGCAGAGTCGACTGCCTCGCCCTTGGAAACCTCTCGGGGAACCTTCCCGCGCCTCCCCACTTACCTCCCCTTCAATGTCCAATGCTGCAAACCTATTCCTCAGGGGGACCCGGGGACACGGGGCAGGCAGAGGGGGGGTTTGCCCACGACATTGAGCAGGGACCCTCTCCCAACCCTCCCCATCCCTCAGTTCCCCTCCTTCCTCAGTTCCTAAAAGCTTTTTCTATAATTTCTCTTTGAGTATAGCAGTACTCCTGGCTTCAGTTGCAGCCCTGCAAAGACTTAGAAGAATGGATCTAGCTTAGTTTTCATCACTTCCTGCAGCCTTCAGACTCCTGAACAGAAGCTGTGACCACTTATGGTGGCTCCTTGCTGTGAGAGTGTTGGTAGTCATCAGGTAAGTCTGAGTGCAGAAAGTTAGCTGTGACAAACTCAGACGCAGGCTTTTGCACTTAAATTTTTGTATTTGGAAGAGTCATCCTCCTGCCCCCAAATCATTAATCATTTTGTCATCTCATCTGTCTTTGGTGGTACCCAACCTGGGCTCCTTCCTAAGTACCACTTGGTGGAAATGAAATTTCCTTTTTATGGAGAAGGTAGATGAAAGCATGGCCACATTGCGGCTTCACATACTAGTCAGTCACCACCAAGGAGGCATAAAGGGAGCTGGCTTGTCTAGTCTGGTAAAGAGGAGACTGAGAGGTAATCTCCTGTCACCTACAACTACACAGAGGAGTGGTATGAGGATGATGGTAGTGGCAGCTAATAAAATCAGAGACAACGGTCCCAAATTGCAGCTTAGAAGTTTCAGGTTAAATACTGACTGTTTTTATCAGACAGCATTCAAACAGATGCTCAGAGGGAGAACTCTGTCCTTGCAGGTTTTCAGTACTTGAAAGGACAAAACTACAGCTGATCTGACCTCGTGCTGGTAACATTGGCACTTCCAGGAGCAGCCTGGACTAAAGACCTCCAGAGGTCCCTTCTGACCACTATTTATACAATTCTGTGAGTGACAGAGAATTCCTTAGTGCTGGAGCCTATCCTTGGTGGTGTTACAATGGGCCTCATCTTGCAAGTTAAAACTAGGCCCTAGCCTGTTAACTATACCCAGGAATCATTTGGGAGAACGCTGAGAGAATTTTGATAAAGCCACAGCTAAAGAGTGCAAACCTGAACCTTTCTGTTCAACTGGCCTAGATTGCAGAGAATGTGCTGGGGAATCCTTAATTTATAGGTACAGGCACTTAGGCTGTGGGCATTTGCTATTAAAAAAAAAAAAAAAAGATGGCTCAGGTGTCCTGGACTAGGACCTGCTGATGGCAGGAAGACTTCAGTCCCACTTATGGAAAAGTCCAAATTAAAATTCACAGAGACCTGGGAACCAGACCAAGAATGCTTGGAAATGTGGGACAGAGAATCTTGTCTGGTCTGACTCCCATCTAGGCCCTGTGTGGGAATATAATGGCATTGAGGGGCTGGCACAATCATTCCCTATCAGCTGCCTCACACAGGACCCTACCGAGCACTTTAAAAGCCCAGCTGTAATCACACCCTGCTTTCTCACAGCAACCCCAAGACTCGGCTCTCTGCTTTTAGTTTAGAGCACAAATCCAGATGGGGGAAGGGGTAGAAAAGAATGCAGCATACCTCTGCTCCATGTAGCTTGTAATATAGTGGCAATGGCCAATGTGCCTGCAAGGTGACATACCTGCCTCGAAGCTGGCAAGGTGAAGCAGCTACCAGCTGTAAACACCAGCTGGAAGCAGGTGTTGCATCCTTGTAATCCTGCCACCTGCTACAGGGCATGCTCACACTAATGTATTTTGCAGGAGGGAGCATGAAACCCATCACCAAGGCAGTGGCAGGATGATGGGCAGGATGATTTAGCCAACTTCAGCTAAAAGTTCCCTGCTTTGATCTGGTGACAAATGCATAAACAGAGCCAAGGCAAGGTTGGACAGTGTACAAAGGTACGGACAAGCTCTCTGAACACTGTGGTTATTTCAGCCACACTAACACAGTGAATAGTGTTCTGCAAGCCAATGCTGTGACACAGGTACAACAATAATGCACATCCAAGATGAAAGAACTCATCCTGTTGTTAGAAAAAGCAACTTCACCCTACATCTAGGCAACAGGCAAGCTTATGAGGGACAAATCACAGCACTGAGGATTACTACCACATGCTGTCACATGCGTAGTGGGGAAATTCTGCCCCTTAACTGCAAACTCTTCTCAAGCAAGCAAAGGCAGAAACAATGCCACAGCAGCAATCCCATCCTTTTTTAGTTCAGCAGCTGTTTCTGGAGCACATAAGTGAGAAAGCTGCCTGGGTTAAAGACACATACCTGAGAAACAATATACTGGGAGGAAAGACACTGCTTGATGTCATTTGATATGGCAAGAAACTTAGTTGGAAATGTTCAGAAGATAGACAATACTTTGTAAGCACTTGGTGACAACTCTCTTTCCTGTGTGCTGCACTTTAGCTTCCCTTAGCCTGTGAGCCAACAGGTACATGCATTTACGGGCTGGCTTTGCAACTCTGCTGCCAGTAAAGGCAGGAAAGGGACAGTGCAGAAGACAATGCGCAGAGAAGTAAAGCTGAAAGATGAGTAGAGGTACACTGTGTTTCACTGCTGAATGATGCCAGATACCCTCTTCTAAGCCATGAGCCTAAAGACCTACTCTCAGGAAACACCTGCTTTTGCTTTTGAATCCAATCCACCTCCTTCTTAAAATGCTGCCACAGCCCAAAGCAAGACACACCAATGGTTAGCTTAAACTCTACCCAAAGCATGAAAATGAAGACATCTTGAGGAGCAAGTTCAGGCTACATTGAGAACTTGATTTGTGTTTAAATTCCAGAGCATGATGTGTCCATAATACCCACTGTCTGCAAAGAATATAGACTGAACAAGAACTTTCATGATTGTATGTCCAGAAGTGCAGCACTGAAATAAGCGGTCCATTCTGCTTTACGCTTAGTACCGTTACATACAGATTACTTTTGGGTGGCTATGTGAAAATACATTTTCAAAGCTGGTTGAAATAATCTGTGTTTCCTTGATGTTGCAAGTCAAGACATGGATATTATAGCTCTGAGTTCCAGTAACAGTGAGTTGTAAAACCAGGAATCCATAGATTGTATCTGTTCCTTTAAACATCTTGTGCTCTGCTTCACCCAAGTGAGGTCCCTAAAGGCCTCTCTTCTTCATGGTAGAGCTTAAATTTGAGTTGTTTTTGAACGGGGATGGTTGGTTGTAAATAGAGATGGTCGGTTGTAAATAGAGATGGTCTCATGGGTGGCTATCTTGGCCATCATGATCATGAAATAGTTCAGTTTAGAATCTTTGGCGATATGAGAAAAACGTGTCAGTAGAAGCCTGGATTCTGGAAAAGCAGACTTCGGGCTGCTCAAGAAAGTACTTAGGTCCCCTGGGAATCTGCTTTTGAAGATACTGGAGTACATAAACATTGGTCACTTTTTAAGGCCCTTCTTTCAGGAGCAGGCAATTCCAATGTGTTGGAAGTCAAGCAAGTGAGGCAGAAGCCTGGCTTGGCTGAACAGGGATCTCCTGCAACTTAGGTGGAAAAAAAAATTCTTCACTGACAGGGTGGTCAAGCTCCTCAGGGAAGTGGCTATGGCCCCAAGACTGTGTTCAAGACACATTTAGACAACGCTCTTATCCACAGTTTAACTTTTAGGTTGCCCTGTGTGCAGTGACGAGCTGGACTCAGTGATCCTTGTCGGTCCCTTCCAACTCAGGGTATTTTACGACTCTGATTCTGTGAAATCTCCAAGTCCTCAATCTAGTATAGGGCAGCCCAGCGAAACGGAAAAAGCTATTCCCTGAAGCAGACACGATTTTGCCTTTGAAACCCAAACACAAAAGAGTTTAGTCAGTGGAGGAAGATTCCTCCTACACTTTTGGCCAGGAAAGCAGGGAGAAAAAACCCAAGGTGTAACAACAAAGGTTAGGACACAGTACGTGCTGTCATAACACTGAAAAGCAGGTAAACCTATGCTCATCTCTAGCATCTATAGGCAGCTAAGAAACTGGCCCTGATCACCCATGCAGCTATATGAGCATCCACACCTGCTCATCCTTTCCCCACCCTGTGATCTCAGTGAACAAGAGGGTATTTCCCTTGCTCCCTTCCCCACAACATCCTGATTCTACCTTCAACCAAATAAAAGCTCTGTTCTACCTCCTCCTATGGAAAATAACCTCTTTTCCAGCACTAAGCACACTTAGACACAGTATAAATTTTGGGGGTTTTAATTTTTACAAATATTTGAAAGAATCACTGAGTATACAGTGACACAAATAGATGTTCCAGCAGTGACAGGCACCCAACAAATTACAATTTTCCTGAATTTAGTCCCAGGTTCTCTTGGGATCAAGAGTGAGAAACAAAATTTACTAGGAAAAAAAAGCCTGATGCTAATGGTAGTAGAACTCCCTCACTTGGCCAAAAAACTATTTCTAATTTTACCCTACAGAAATCTAACGATTAATGAAGGTTAGAGGTGAATTACTATATCTGTGAGTTACTACCAGTAAGCACCCTTGCCCCCTCCGCAAATTTAACTGGTGGGGTGGGGGTGAGGAAGGGATTACAGCTGCTTAATGGCAATGCCCATCCCATAACTGGATCACCACAGATGGAGCAGGGACATGGGAACCAAATCTGACTACTGGATTAACAACTTAAAAGTGAGGGCAAACAATGCTCGTGGAGAATGTTCAAAGCTCCTCACTCGTATCTTCTGCTGGTCAGCATCGGTGGTTCTAGGAGGCTTTAGTTTCTTTCATTTCTTCCCTTGTTTGATTAGGAGACTGTCACTGAAAGGGAGACAGACATGAGTCATTACTCAAGAAAGCACAAGCAAAGCTGAACCAGACCCTCACTACAGATGTGGGACGTCACACCCAAAGGATCTGGGCTTCAAGTCCTTCCTACTAGGTGCTTTTTTCAAAGCCTCTTAAGCCTTCTGGGATGAATAAAACAGAATCTGGTCAGACGTAAGGAAGAAGGATCTTACAATCAAAGATCCCACAGAAAAGAAACCAGCTCTGGCTTCCTTTCTTGATTCTAAGAAATCTAAGCTTTTAGCTGCATGCTATTAGCTCAGCTGGCACTGCCTTGTCCAGTAAACAGTGGACATATTAGGCAAAGCCACCACACTCCTGCCAGCTCTGAAAGTAGGGAATGGGATTTCTAGCATGGACTGGAAAGCTTTTGGAGAGTAACAAGAACATCTTTCCTGGAGATCATTACTCTCCAAAGCAACATAAATTCCTACAATCATCTAACTGCCTTCTTATGGCCCTCTCTGACATAAATGCAGGATGCCCTGTGATCAGAGAACACCCTGCAGTTACTCCTCCCTTCCCCGTGCAAGGCTCCTTATGGGACACACACAGAGCTCCCATTACCAAGTACCTCCTACTTGTTGTAGATGTTTGTTTGCACCCTGCAAGGAAGGGCTTCAAGCTTCACATCACAAATGGAAACTGAAGCAGAGATGGAATGAACTTCCTGTGGCCAGAAAGGCCCAACCCAAAAATATGGCAGGCACCAGGCAAATAACACCCTTCTTGTTCCAAGTACTAACAAAAGGATGAAAATAAACAGTGCTTTACCTTCCTCTGTGTCAGGAGATGCAACAAGGGCCGGGGGGGCAGGTGCGGTAGAGGAAAACAAGAGTAAATTGATTGGATTTAACAAAAATCTTGATTTTCACAATAAGTAAGACTGCTTCCTACTCAGCTGTGTCCTCTGGTATCAGGGTCCTCTCAGAGTAAAGGATCCTGAGAGAGTTACAGAAAGGGGACCAGCATCACAGGTCGGGAGCAGGTAAATCCACCCACAACAGCCATCTGGCCCCCTTACCTGGTGAATCCCTCATCCTGCAGGTTCAGTACCAAGTTATCTGCTGTGAGATACACACGGTTTTGTGAGCCAGCAATCTGAAAAAGAAATCCATTACAGACATAGCATAAAGGAGAAGAGCATAAATGCACATAAGGAGAAGAGTATAAATCCACATGGAGAAACAGCACTAATAAAGAATTTATCTCCCTCTCCAGATATAGCACTCTCGTTTTACTTAAGATCTCAGTTAAATCAATGCAGTTCCCCAAAACAACTCTATACTTTCCTGACTTCCCATTCCAGTGCCATCAGACTTTCTAGAAGTGCTCATTCTGTCTCCCTGTCAGACAGACCTTTAAACCCACGCTTATCTGTCCCCTTTTCTCAGCATGCAGGAAACCAGGAGCTTTTGGTGGTTGCAGCTGGGTGTGGGTGATGGAATCTGATGTGGATCTGGCCTTGTCAGATGGAGAGCACAAACTGATAGCCTTACATCTACTTGCCGATCGCTGCACACCAAATCTTAAGCTCTATTTGAGCTAAGAAGCAGTGGGGAGGAACAAAGATCAGGACAGGGCAGTTCACATTCGCCTTAAATTCATCATGTGGCCACTGGGCTGGGAGGACAGCACAAGGAGTGCAGAAGGATAAAGGAAATTCTGTGCCCCATTGCTCACCGTTTTTGAGATGTTTTGAGCAGCTCGGATCTTACGCAACTTGATGTAGCCTGGATTTCTTCTTCACCGAGGTACAGGGGAGCAAAAGTTAAGGAAAAACCTGATAAGAGAAGCTGCCTAATCTCAAGGAATTCCTCATAAGCCTTATCATCAAATATCTTAGCAATCTCTATCCCAATATCTTGGGCCTTTGAGCAGGGATATTTTTGTTTCCCCAAATCAAGAACAACATTATGGATCATGGTCACACAAAGCCAATAAAAGTTAAACCTTATAACAGGGAGTAAAGGCTCATGGCCTTCTTGGCTCTGACCTGTAGCCTCAGACCAAATCTCACTCCAAGGGAAGAAAAAAAAAAAAAAAAAGACAGTGACCTACTTGAAGCCATCACCTGATCACCTGATAACAGTCTCCTATGTGTGAGCCCAATATGACAGATTCTCAGGACTGTCAAGCTCACAAGCCACATCCCACAAAATCTCCCAAAGCAGGATATCATCTTGGCAGCTGTAGCCTCCCCTTCAGCCTGAACAATCTTCTGCTTCTGCTCCTGCTTGGCCTTCTCCACCAGAAACTGTGCACGCTGTGCCTCCTGCTGGGCTGCAGAGAGAATGGCCAAAAGCATTCAGGTCAGATCCCATTTTCTGAGCCCTCCACCAGAACCCTAGAGCTGAAGCCTGAAGGCTCTGCTTCTGAAAGAACTGACAGGTTTCTGAGGCCATATACACAAATAAGAAGTGTATCTGCGTGTACTTAACATTTTCTTAAATAAAATTAACAGCATCCAGACCCTCTACACGTAATCCTAGCAAGGGATAGAGTCCCAGTCTGAAGAGGAATCCTACAGTCTTGGGAACTCAGTCCCTCCAGTGGTCTATCTCATTATTATCAGAAAACTTTGGGGTGATAGCTACTTGTAAAATAACCTGTTTGTCTCCACTATTAAGGAGGCTGAGACTTACAACTCTGTAGCTGTATCAATGCGACCATGACACACCAGCCTAAATTCTGCTTCTGTGTGTAATAACTCAATTAAAAGGCAAGGGCAATCCACCCTTTCCAGGCATAAATTCAACTCACCCACTTGCTTAGCCTCCACAGCTGCTGTGTATTCACGACTGAAACTAAGCTCTGTGATAGCCACATCATCCAGGATGAGGCTGAAATCCTTGGCTCTCTCTGTCAGTTCTCGCCTAATGAGCAGAGACACCTGAAACACAAATACAGCAAAAAGAGTACCAAACACAGGCTGTTTCTCACTTCCTGTGCACTCCGAAACTGAAGCACAACTGCTCTTCACAGTTCATTCACACTGGGCTCCAGAGAGACATTACCTAAAACAAACCCTGAAACATGGACATTAATACCATCTCTGAATATATTACCTCTAAACTACTCTGCATATTCAGAAGTAACTTACAGCCTATTTATAGTTATTATCTAACTATACTATCCAATTAATATTGCAAAAATAAAAAAAAACTTGTTTAACTTTTTTTGTTTTCACATCCTATCACATTTAGTTCCACAGTTCCTACATGTTCTGGCAACAGGTATTTCCTTCTCCATCTTCAATTTGCCATTGTTGGGAGTTTGGCTGTCTCCTCATCTTTATATTCAGATTAAGAAAAAAATTACCCCTCCCACTGCTATCATGTCTCTAACTACCGTAGCAACTTGTCTACCACGGCCACTCTGCTTTTTTTAGTCTCTTTGGATAAGCATTGTTGGTAATTTTTTTTCTTCTACTCATTTCTGAGTTGCCTTTAACTTGCCAATATCTTTTTCAGTCAGGCTGACAATTCCTGCACCAAATATTGACTTAAATAGAAATCATTGCTACATCTTTAACCAGTCTAGCATTTGCTTTTATTTTTATTGCACCTGTTTCTGAGCTGAATTCTAAAATGATGCCTAGAAACCTTTACTGTGTGAACTGCAAGTGCATAACTACGTAAAGCCACTTCATTTTCTTTGGACTACCAACTGCTTCAATACGCATCACTTTACAGTAAGCTTGTTCAAAAATTTCAGAGATACTTCACAGTCGCCTTTGCTTCTGATAAACCTAAATCCCTTGCAGACATGTTTTCTTTGCTGTTACATCCTCCCTTTCCACTCATTTCCTTTCTATAAGATCATTAACAAATCCCTTCAGTGCACACTATGTGGCCTAGCACAAAACCCTGTTATGAATCTGTTCCCACCTGGACCGCTTAGCTCTAATCTGGATTTTTTGTCATGGATCAGCAAGTAGTTAAGAGATGCTTTGCACTGCATCTTTCTGACAACTTATCCTCATGGCAGGATTTCCTTTAAAGCCTTTTAAAAGAAGCAGTAATTTCTCTCTCCCTCAGCTGCAGTAACTGACAGATATTCTCAGTATCTCTGGCAATCAAACTACCAGAATCCAAGCTAAATATTTCTATTATTTTGCAATCCCCCCAGCTTACCCTCTAATCTTCTACACAGAAATATTTGCTACCCTTCTGTACCATCCATTACGGAAAGTTTATTGCTGTCTTAACTGCTCATCCACTTCGCTTTTCAGATCTTTTAAAATGGTTTAATTTGCTCTGGCAGCTCTTCTGAAACCCATTACCAGGGCCAGGTAATATTTTTCTTAAAGCCAATTCTACTATTACCTGTAGACTATGCTGTAAATCAATTCTCCCTCCCCCACCATTACATTATAGTACCCTCATCATTACATTATGGCACAGTTTTGCACTCTATATACCAATTAATCCAGTTTTCTTCTCAGAAGATAGTGGTACAGCCTTAGTGTCTGTATCTGTATCAGAATAAAACCGTAAGCCAGATACAGTTATGTTCCTTTTCTGTTTGGCTGCACCACCTACCAGTCTAAAATATTTATCCTTCACGTGCTACAACATTCCCCATATCTACAGTTTAGTCGCATCTTTGCAATCTGAGCGTAAGTCTCCTCCAGAAGAGTTTACCTGTGCTCTCTGAGTGATGAGCTGGGAAGCATTAAACTTGGCTACCACGCTCTTAAGCACTTCATTAACGATAGATGGCAGGACTCGCTCCTCGTAGTCCAGGCCCAGGCGCTGGTACATGCTGGGCAGCTCTGCAGCATTAGGGCGGGTGAGGACACGCAGGGAAATGTTCACCATCTGCAAATCTGAAGAAAAGAGACGTGAGCAGGGCCAGCGCTGCGGCCGGGCTCCTGTCCTCCCTCCCTCAGGCACCGCCTGGACCTTGTTCTCTGGCCCGCAGGGCCGCTCTCACCTTTGGAGCCGGTAGGTGAGGAGATTTTCCGTGGCCGGGCTCGAATGTCATAGATGATGGGGTACTGGAACCAGGGGATCCTACGAGGGGCGGGAGGCCCGTTACGCGGGGCGATGGGGAC